TTGCAGAACAAAAGTAAGAATAAGCAGAGGTAAAAGATAAAGCATGAAGCCTTCAAAGATGCGGTAAAAATTATATTGACATTGCAAAGTCGTGGACAGTTCGGCTACACAACACTTTCGAGATTCAGCTTACAGATTTATTTCGCTGCAAATATGTTCCTTTTTCACTTACGCGTGCCATGCACGAGTCAAAAATGGCGCATGCACTGGTTTTTACACCAGTGCATGCGCTGGTTTTACACTTAACACTGCACTGGTGTAAAACCAATGCTGTAAAGGCCTCCAAAGTCCTGCAAGCCATCTTGTGATTGCTCGCTAAACGTAATCTTGTAATTGTAACGTTCCATTCACTATTGACCCACACCTGTACTTACCAATGACTTATCCAGTAGCTTTTATGTTACCGGTTGAGCCCATCACGTCGGAGCTAGCTTATAACTCGGGCTGACCCCAATGACCTTTGGTGCCGGACCAACTAAGACCGGTGATCGCGTGAGGCGAATCTCCGATAGCGCTCGGCCCGAAAAGTTGCCGGCAGAAACGACACCTTCCAAGTTTGAGCTCCCAGGGATGACGGTTGGCGTCGTGCCATGCGGTGTCCGAACACACCTCGGGGTGAGACGGTGACCTTTGACCTTTGACCTGGTGACCTTATTAGTCTAGTCTGACGGAAGCGGCTGCCCCCGGGGTATTGGACGGGGAAATATGCGGCTGACATTGTATAGAGATGTCATGCATGGACTGGCATTCAGGTCACGAAACTCGATATGTCATTCGTGATGGGTCGTGCTAGTTTCGTGATGGATCGTTCATCGTCAGTCATCAACATCCATCGATATTCGAGATGCATACGTCTACATGCGTCCTATACTTCCCTGCGTTCAGATGAGCATGCATTCATAACGATAAAGAAAACAGTCTGTTGTATTCGTGTGAAACAGCGAACAAAACACATTTGTTGACAAGGGCACATCAGAGACAATTTTTTCTATTTATAGTCACCGTGATTTTTTTCCATCGCAGCCATCACTTTCGCACGACGCACGCTGCGACACTCATTGCCTTCGTGACGTCATCATGGCGTGTTCGTCGTTCCTGCTAATGCAAAAATCGCGTGAGAGGGTGACTGAGGCTCCCCGCCGTGGAGAAATCACCGTATTGTTGCCCACGATGAATGAAGACAGATGAAGCTTAAATTGCCGCTGGGGTGAGGCCGAAATCGCGTGGGAGATATGCGGGTGGTCGTTTATCTAGCGGGATTTGGTTCACGTGTCGATACCAGGAGATATGCTAATAAAGGGCTACGTGGGGACGATCAAATGGGATTCTGCATTTCAGCCCTTCATCTAACTAAACATGTTATAGCATGGGAGTTGGGACATAGCTAAAATTGTGGTTACGCAAATTTCCCTCAACGTATTACGTTAAGTTAAAAATTCTGATTTGCAAGCTTCCAGCGGTTCCTATCTATGCAGAAGCGTGACTCGTCTTCTGTGGTTCTTTCTTTAAGTTTTAAAATGTTTCGAAAAAATGTCGCAATATTATATAATGCATCCAAGATACAGCCCCAAATTGCCGCCGGGGATTCTCTCCCGTTCTGGGTCGATCGTGAGCCGCCCGTTAAACAGTGACGTCACCACTGCTGACGTCATCAGCCAGGTGACGGACGCCCGGCTGGCGGGGGCGGTCGGTGGCCGGTCAGCTCAGTTGGCACCACCCACCCCCACCCTCTCTCTCCACCCTCCCCCCACACTCTGCCCGGACCCAGCCACAATGGATCGGGCGCTATTGATCGACTGGTGGCGCCGCCAGCGGCAGAAAGACGAACTAGCGTGCAAGAGTTGCGTGTAAGAATGTCCTTTACGTTTGGGAGGGCAGATGAGAATGCAAATTTGCAATGTAATGCGAAATGCCTAAGCAACTGAGAGCTAAAGGAAATTTGCTACCATGCCGGTGTAGCGGGCTACATCTTTTCTATTAGTTTACTATTAGCTGTAAACTTTAAATCCTGGCACGACCGAATACTGCCCGATCCGGACACGCTGGCCGCGTTCCGTAGAGGCCCTTTCCTTTGTTTTCCCGTATCCCACGTCCCTATCGACACCGGCCGCCCATAATTTAGAAAAGACAGCAGCACAGAGCGAGGTAACGCGGAAGAAAGAGACGCGGTGACCTAGCGGGTCACCGTTCGTTACGGACGTCGTCACTTGAGGGCAGCACCAACCGGAAGGGAATATGATAAAGCCATGCAAGAATGCAGTTATGCAAAAAAAAATCGACTCAATACTGGACGTTGCACAAAGCTGCAATTCAGATCAACTTGATCACCAAGAAATCCGAAAGTCGCAATAGTTTTATCGCCTGACCCCACCATATAGCATTCCAGCAACGACCAGTGCAACAAGGACGTTTTTTGGAATATAGACTGTCTAAATGATATCCAGAGGTAGTCATTGCGCTAGCAGCTCATGAGCTCGGAAAGCAAGTCGTTGTGGCGGAGGAGCATCTGAACAAGAGGTACAGCACCTAGAGTACGAGTGAGTGAGCAAGATTAAAGGAAACTAGAGACAACATTACAAAGGATAAATCGCTGCGGGCTGCCTACTATGAACAAGCATTTCGATTTCAAGCCGCTTTATCAGAAACAAGCGCAGATCAACAATAACGGGCATCGTTCGCCGATGAAGACTGGAACCGAAGAATTGTGCCATCTTATGGCTATTTAAATGTTTTCACATTCAGTGCAACCATATTTTGGAGAGGCCGCTGCAAATGCAAAACCGAGCACACCCTCAAACCACCGCAGTAAGAAGAAAAGAAGTGCACCTGAATCGGAGCCAGCACCCGGAACCAGGTCAGGAGAGGGCGACGCCACCCCGACCCAACTATAAAAAAAGGACCGCTTTACTTCGGGATCAGTTAGACCGGGGCAGTCAGACCGAGACAGTGAGACCGGGACGGGAGGACCGAGTCAGTGGGACCGCCGCAGTCGCGTCGGGATCACCGCGCCCGAGAAGCCATGCCGACGGGAGACGGGCCCGTTCAGCCGCATCGCTGCAATCGTCCTGCTCCAGTTCTCTGCTAGTGCCTCGAGTGATGGAGACGCAGGACAGCAGCCGTCGACGAGAAAGGACGCAAGTGCAACTGCCGAGGTTGACGTCACACTCCAGCTGCTAATGTGAGTGTTCAATCTGAATGTTCGAAAGTCTGCTCTCCCTGATCCTATCTCCCCCCCCCCCCCTGGTTTACGCCTTGCCCGATCTCTCCAATGGTCGTTGCCAAGCTAATAGCAAATTGCTTTGATTTTTACGGTCGGTCCAGACAATTCTAGTTGTGGTCTCCGACTCTCCACTCTCCGCGATCGCCAGAAATTATTGGTGCAAAGCTGTATTGCGGTTTTGTTCTTTGGGTCTTACTACCGGATAGGCTGCGTTATAGGTGATCGAGGTTTAGCTAAAAATTCACGAGTACGTATATTTATGTCATTGTTAGGATCTCCAGCTTACCATTTGCAGACTAGGATTACAATGGGATTCCCAGTGTGTTTATGTTCAACAGTGATGTTCAGTTGGGTTTGTGAGAGGAGTTCAGGGCGTGGTTTCAGTCTCTTTTACAGTGATGTGAGCTGGTATTGCTGCGCCACATAGCGGGTTAATAATGAAGCTGTTAGTTTCTGTACGAACCTGTCAAAGACAAAGTTAACAATTTAACCGGTTAGGCGTAAGTCATTTATTATTGGTATTCTGTTGAATTAGCGTTTTGACTTGGAACATGAATTAGACTGTATTTAAATTCAACGTGTTTAATTTAGAATACACACTAAAGTTATGAAACGTTCTGTTGTGGGCATAGTGGGAAGGATCGAGCTCTTACAACTTTGGAAACGGGTGATTGGCCACAAGGTCAATAAGATCATCCGTCGAGACGTCATCAACGCTTTTCCACTCTGGTGTTTCGTGGAGTTCGCACTACAGTATAGGGGTTTACATTAGATACACACACACACGCCGAATAAGAAGAGCACATATAGAAGAAGCACACGGTGTCTGATCGACGACCTTGGTCCAGCTGTTAATTCCGACGGGTGAAGCGGCGCGGCGGTGGGCCGCCCAGGTTTATGAGCTGGGCTGCAAATTCAGGTCAGAATTCAGCTGTTAAGGAATTCAATTACTCGAGGCGTGCAATTGTGGAAACAAACGTGGTAAATTGTTCAAAGATGTTGGGTCATCATAATGTCACTAGGTCGTCGTAATGTCGTGGTATTATCGAGCATAGCCATCAAATGACGTTTATCATGGGCAGTCCGGGCGTACTGTTTGCATCACTAGTCGCGGGACAGAGCTGGCGGCGGACAGGACGGTCCGTCGGCTCTCGGTCGTAATTTATGGGAGATTTATTGACGCAGAATATTTCAGACCAGGTAAACAATATCAGTGAAATTGTTGGGGCTTATATTTTTAGCCAACCTGAATACTCGTGGTTTTGTGGTTGCTGGTAGCAAGTATTTCACCCGACACAAATTGACGAAAATTTAATGGCCCAAGATGATACATTTGATCTTTCTATCTGTCACCTTCGAGTGGCTACAAGGTATATTGCAAGCGGATTATCTTAGATCAATAAGCCGGAGACTAAATGAGGAGAGGGTTTGTTTGCCCGGCTCTTATGTCGGAATGTCGACTAGCATGACTTAGACACAGAACTTCCTGAGAAATTCGTCCAGACCGGTAATGTAAGGTAAGGAGCACATCGTCTTTAGCAGAGCTATTCACGTTACCCACCGTGGTGATACCGCGGTTGTCGTTGGTTTCCCGCAGGATTATTTAGTGGGCAAAGGTAGGCAGGCTCAGAGGCATGAAACGGCGGATCCCAGCGGAAGTCCATCAGGAAATCCATCAGGAATGGTGGAGTGCTGGGTCACTGGTAAGTCATCCACAGGTGGTGCAGGAAGCCGTGCGTCCCAGGAAGTCATCATACTTATCTGCATCTTGATCATCGGTATGAGCCAGGAGTTTCCGGCCACATCCGGTGATGGACAGCCTCTGGGGGACCGGGAGAGTCCCCCCTCGGAGTTCGTGAGTCCTGGTAACGTAAGACCCACGGAACCAGATGAGTTCCAGGCAGATAGTTCCAGGACGTGGATACGTGAACTATGGTCCCAGGACGTGAACGGTAAGTTCCAGGACGTGGACCGGAGGGAGCGCGAGGCCTAGCGCTCTCTCAAAAGGGAAACCAGCCGGGTGTAATTCGCGAATTCGCATCATAAGTCTATTGGACGTGTTGTGGATCCGACTAAATTACAAAGATGAATAATTATCTGCATGCAATACTGGACGGCCCTGTGGCTTGGCCACCGGTTAGCGGGAGCACACGTGGATTCATAAGAGAGACATTCATCTCGCCGGGGAGGTTATTGTTGCCAGACACCTAACACTATCGGAGGGATTTCGAGGGGCACTAAATAAATTTTGGTGAATAAATGAAGAGCGCTTGTATGTGAGAATGTGAGTGCGTATGATAAAAGAATGAATCTTAGATTAAGGCCGATAGGAGTTAAGTGCAGCTCGGTTAGGACAGTCAAGCCAATGATTCTCGAGGGCACTTAAATTCAGCTACGCTAATACGATATAAGTGGGCAAATTTGAAAAGGGTAGAGTAGACCAGTGATGATGAATTGGTGACTGGACAAATGACCACCCAGTAAAGCAAGTTAAACGCCAACAAATGGCTTGGCAGTGATCATTACGACCCCCAACTGCCTTATCCAGCCCTTCTCTCACTGTGTCGATTACCCACGGGTTGGAGCCTGTCCAATGTGTCCATCCTGCCCGAGCAGTGAAGTTACCGAGCCGACGTCTATACAATGCGATGATGGAGATGCTATCAAAATGAAAGCATCTCCCATCAGATGCATTTGTATGCCGGGTGGGCTTCCAGAAATCAACCTTACTTACGCACACACTTCCAGTCTCCAACAGCACAATTCCAGCGCTTCACATTGACACCGAAATCCCACTGTAACAGACCCCACCAAGAAAGAGCCCCCCGGAAAACAACACCACCCCCACTCCACCGCACCCCTGTTCAGTCCCCCGCGCTACACCGGTCAGTTGACTATCGAACCACGATGAAGTCCTTAAATCTTGCCCTTTCTATCGATGGTGATTAAGATGGCAGTCGGAGCCCGACATATTTTTGATTTGATGAAACGTTCAAGTATATTTGAACTAAGAAAATATTGGTAAAAAATAAATCAAGAGCTTGTTTGGTTTGATGTAACTCTACTTGTGCGCTTCTTTTCTTTCTTATAATACTAATTATCGATTTTATTTTGTCTTTCCACTCGTTTCAAAATAGCTCTCACCGACTGAACTCTCCCCCCCCCCTGCCACAGCTGCGGTCTGCCCGTGGACCGATGCTCCAGTCGTGAGAAGGGTCAGCCGCTCTGCATGGAGCAGTACTACCGCATCATGACCACCTACCGCCGGCCCGGCGTGAAGAGGGACTATCAGCTGGACACGACCATCGCCCAGTCCCAGTACATCCTGGTCTGCTGTAAAGGACAGGTGGGAGAGACCGATGGTGGATCCAGAGGGGGTATTTGGGACATTTGACTCTCCCACGGCGTCAAACTTGATAAAATGTTTCCAACTTTTCTAATTCGAAAGAAAACTGAATAACTTCTGTTAGATAAAGTTTGCAGTAAGTTGTTCAGAGACGTCATGAAAACAACGTGACTGACTTATAAGAGAAGCATCACGCGCTTCAGGGGCAGATGTTTTCAAGTTGAAACAGAGTTTAGATACGCAGTATGCGAGGACGCTTTTTAATCGGTTGAAACTCATTGAGTAAGAATTAACCAAATGACTTTGGTTCAAAAATCCAAAAGGAAAGAAAGGTAGTGATTAAACGACAGCTTGTTCCAGCAAATGACACCGCAACAATGCCGATGTCCATCTATTTAAGTAGCTCGTTTCGTTCGTACACGCTATTTTTCCTCCTTCTCTCAGCAGGCCTCTCCTCTTCTCCCCTGCCGCTTATCGCCTCTCGTTTTACCAGCCATCTGCATACAAAATACCTACTCAGTACAAACAGGGCTCGGGTTGTTGCACCCTTTCCAGTCTTATCTTTCCCTGGGGACCCTACCGAATTGGCCGAACGAGCAGAATCGGCAGCGTTTGAGCATCGACGGCGTCAACTACGTGAGCGTCGGTGTCGGCGCTGGGTGGCTATCAAAGCATACAAAAGCGCAGCGTACAATCCTCAAAACATACAAAATCGCAACATACAACGCGCAAAACCTACAAAACAGGCCAGGTAGGGGACAGCCCAAACGTACAAAAGCGCAGCGTACAAAATCCCAACGTACAAAAGTTTACCGTCCAATGGGTAAAGCGTACAATGGCAAATCAAACAATGATCAAAACGTACAAAATTAGAACGTACAATGGTAGATCAAACAAACGCGTATCATACAAAATTGCAACCTACAAAACGAGATGATCGTATCATACAAAATCGCATAGTCTAAAATCGGAAGGTACAAAATGCCTCTGGTTGACGCCGGGTGAACTGATATTTAACAGGTCAGCCACCAGATGGGGTAATGGTGCTGTGGCAGTGGTTTTTTGGAAGCCACCAGGAAATAGAGTGGAATGCCACTAAGTCCCTTAGAAACACGATACCTCTGGACGCTGCACCGGCCGGCTATCGACGCTGCGGGCGGTCGGAGGGTGCCGAGGGGAATGGTTCCGAGCAGGCGGAAACACGATACCTCTGAACGCTGCACCGGCCGACTATCGACGCTGCGGGTGCCGCGTGGACCGGCGCCGAGCAGGCGACGAGGAGAAGCGGGCATCAAGACCGTGAGAAATCTATTATATTGGCGGGTGTGCATATGTAGGTAAATGAGGCAAACGTGCATAGGTATGTAACACCTTCATCCTTGATCACATACCCCTACCCACGCACTGCAGGGGGGGGGGGACTGTTTGAACAACCCCTCCGATTTCTCCCGAATATCTAAAAAACGGCGGCTCAGAGTGCCGCCGTGTTTTGCACATCTTATCATACATCTTTTCTACACCTTCTGTGAAAACTTCAGACCAAAGTCATCCAAGGTCAGGTCACCATATCACGTCAAGTGACCTTACTACATGAAAAGTTGCAATGCCTGTCACAGCTACACCGAGTGACTGATCACTTTGAAACTTTGAGCAACTGATAAAACAACAGTATACACAATACACATAATGTATACAATAATAATAATAATGATACACAAAATGTATCTCTCGGAACTTCGATATCGGTGACCTAAGGTCAGTTCAATTTTGCGACCTCTCCATTATAAGTCAATGGGAGAAAATTGAAAGGTGCCTCTTTTGGCCGAACGTCATTCTAATCACTTTCAAACATCGAATTACAAGTAGACATGACAAACTGAACCGGAAAATGGTACCCGTGACCCCTCTTTATGTCCCTGAGGTCATCTCAGGTCACGAATGGTATCCTACAGTTTTTCGCAAATAACTTTTGACAGAGACATGCTAGAGCGATGAAAAAACCTTATATGTATGTGTTTGGCTCGACAATACGGATCGACTGATGCAGCATGACCTTTTCTGGTCAGGTCATGACATTCATGACCTTGTCATGAGGTCATGACCTTGACCTAAAGTTAATTTTTCAAGTTGAACTTTTGAGGTCAACTTATAGTTCTTTCGATGCGTCGCCTTGACGAGAGAAACACGATGCTACTGAAAGTAAGCTCGTGCATGTTTTGAGTCAAAAGGTATTGCAGAAAAACAGTTCCCGCAAAAACCATCTACCTATTCTGGCAGTTTTTGGCCCCTGCACGCTAAACCGTTCCTAATCTATGCGCCGGTTTGTCGAAATTATCGAAGTTTGACCTGGAAAGTGGCGAAATTTTACCTTTGGTGACCTCTGTTGACCTGACCTTTGAGCTGACCTAAAATGTGGCCGATGTAATTTCTTCATTACTTCTGCCGCTCTTTCGAACGCCGCCTACGGCGTGTCGCTACGTGGCCCAGGAGCCGAGTGAGAAGGGGGGTGTTCAAACACCCCCCCCCCCCCAGTGCAGGTGGCGCCGAGCACCGGCCCGGCGCCGGTTAGTCAATCGCATGGCGTTTAACCCGCGCCCCACTGGGGGGGGGGGGCTATTTATAGCCCCCCCCCTCCCGTTTTTCTGCAATAACTTCCAAACCGCTTGACGTATCAACGCCAAACTTTCAGTACCTTCGGCTGCATCAATTTGACACATTGTGTCAAAATTTGAACTTCGTACCTACCATGGGTCGGCCGGAAATGACGTCAGAGTGACGTCATGTTCGGCCGATTTCGACGCAAAACATTGAACCACGGCAATCGCTCCCAAGAGCTCAGTTTTTAAGCTAGATCCAATTTCTTTGCATGTGAGGACTCAGAATAGACTGCGCTATCAAACTGCTATCTCAGATTTTCGAAATTTTGAAAATTTCGAAAAATTAATATAATAAAATTCAAAATTTATATTTTTACATTTTTTTCAAAAACCTTTTGACTTTTCGAAAAAACCGGAATATGTGTGATAGAACGCATTATTATGACTAACTCTAGCAAGTTTTAGCTAAATATCTTCAAAAATGGCCAAGTTATACGCATTATTGCAAAACATTAACAATTATTAATTTTTCAAATCAATTTTTCAGCACGAATTTGACATCGTACGCCAAAATAAATAGCACCATCGTGTTCCTGAGCTCAAACTGCATCCAATAGACACCTTTTTTTTTGTTGAAAAATTCTAACTTCAAAATTTGACCTTTTTTGACCTGAAAGTGACCTGACCTGAGCTAAATTTGACTCAAAATGACCTCGAATGACACAGACGACATCAAATTCGAAATGTTTGGCCTAAATGGACCATAAAACATGTGTCACGTGACCGACGGATGATATAATATTTTCGTGACCTGTGATGACCTGACCTTGACCTGAAAATCAAAGTACAAGTTTAGTACCCTCAGAGTATCTAGAGCATCTGTTCACGAGTGTGTGAACCAAAAATGAGCCTGATCTGACTTGTAAGACGGCGGCCAGAGCCCAAAACGTGAAGAAGCCAAAATGCTAATAATTTTTACTTTGACCTGACCTGTGACGTCATCGGTGACCTCGAGGTCAATGAAATTAGGTTTCGCTCGACAGTTTTTGCGGGGCTATCAGACGCCGTTTGAATTTTGACGATCCGCCCAGTAGTTTCGGAGTTAGGAGGGGGGCTATGAATAGCCCCCCCCCCCCAGTAGGGCGTGTTATACGCAGACCCCAGTGGGGCGCGGGTTAACATAACGGTACATCATCGGTGTTTAACCCGCGCCCTGCTGGGGGGGGGGGGTGTTTGAACATCCCCCCGTGTTTTTTTCACAAATATCTCAACACCTTATAACGTTTTTGGCACACCTTATAATACATTTTGTACATACTATTGCTCTTAGGAATCGTTGAAACTTTCGAAGCGATCGCCGATCGGTCACTTGGTGTAGCTATGGCGGACATTGAAACTTTGCATGAGGTGAGGTCACTTCAAGTGACCTGGTGACCTGACCTTAAATGACCTTGGTCTGAAATTTTTAAAACATGTGTAGAATTGATGTATTATAAGGTGTGCCAAAAACGGCGGCGCTCCGCGCTGTAAACTATACTGAGATAAACTCTGCATATCTCAGAGTTTTGATATCGATGACCAAAGGTCAGGTCAATTTTGCGACCTCCCCATTATAAGTCAATGGGAGAAAATTGAAAGGCGCCTCTTTTGGACCAAAGCCATTATAAACACTCCCAAAACACTGAATTACAAGAAACTAAGACACATTGAACATGAAAATAGTATTTGAGACCCCAGTTTATGCCCCCGAGGTCATCTCAGGTCACGAATAGTATCTAACAGTTTTTCGCGAATACCTTTTGATAGAGGCATGCTAGAGCGATGAAAACGCCTTGGATGTGTTCAGCTCGACGATACGGATCGACTGATATGCAACATGACCCTTTCCGGTCAGGTCATGTTGGTAAAAGTAAGCTCGTGCAAGGCTTGAGTCAAAAGTTATTGCAGAAACACTTTCCAAAAAATCGGTTATTTTGGCAGATTTTGCCCCCTGCAGGTAAAACCGTTGGCGCTAGGTCAAATCTGAGAGAATTATTCAGAAAGGGAGTTAATAGGGCTATCGAAGTCGCTTTTCCGCGGCACTGTAGCTATATCGGTTCCTGAGTTATGCGTTGGCTTCTTGGAAACTGTCGACATTTGACCTGAAAATCGGCGAAATTTTGCCTTTGACCACTGGTGACCTGACCTTTAGCCTGACCAAAAAAGTGACCGAAGTGATTTCGTCATTATTTTTGGCGCTCTTTCGAACGCCGCCTTCCGGGAATCGCTACGTGGCCCAGGAGTCGAGTTAGAAGTGGGTGTTCAAACAACCCCCCCCCCCCCCCCAGCAGGGCGTGAAAATCCAGGACCCCCAGCGGGGCGCGGGTTAAAACACATTTGGAAAATATAGATATGTTCAATACAATGTGCGCTAACCAGTCTTCTCTGTAATTCAGCTAGCAAATATCGTGCTGTGTTGTTAACATCGAGGGTCGAACTTAACCCGCGCCGTGCTGGTGGCCTAAGTTTTCCGTGTCGTGCTTGGGGGAGGCGTTTTCACGTCCCCGTCTAACTCGGCTCCTGGGTCAAAGGTCACGTCACCAGAGGTCATCAAAGGTAAAATGTTGCCTATTTCAACATTTTCCCAAACACTCAACGCATAACTCGAGAACCAATAGAGCTACAGCGCCACAGAAAAGCGCATTCAACAGCTCTTTTAAAGGCCTTTCCGAGTGTTGTTGTTAGATTTGACCTCAGGTCAAATATAAATCGTGACGTTAGTAACAACGCACGATACGTTAGACGCTGGCAAAACACCAATACGGGCGAGGGTTAAATCATATGTGCACCAACCAGTTTTTAGTGGCTAACCTAGCTAACATTGTAAATGTGTTCAACAGGATGTTTACAGTGAGGGTTGAACTTGAAAAAGACTGAAAATTGAAAATTGCACGACGGGACCGCGGCCGGAATTAGCGCGACATTGGTGGATTTGCCGCCCTTTCCCAAACTAAGTTAGACTGTTCCACGTAGTTCAGAAATGTCCAATTCCATGGACCACGAATCTGCAAATATTTTTCGTCCATGGTGTATAGCGTCCGCGCCACATCAGCCCAAATACAAAGTTCTGTGACAAGCATCGTAGACCCGTTTTCGTACGGAGAAAAGTAGCAGCTAATGTAGGTAAGAAAAATGTATATTAGACGGCTTTATCAATATTTTCGGGGTCTAACCTGATAGTTTAGACCATGGGCTTCACGATGGAAAGAAAAACTTATAACGGAATATATAAATACGCTTCAAATGTTAAGTTTGTAGGTGCTTTTAAAATTGTGAGTTAATTTTACTGTTATCAAAACATTCTAGAATGCCGATATGAAACGTCCCGCTAGGTCGCGCTCTTCTTTTATCAATATGGTCTTTACCGATCAATTGCCTTTCAGAAAATGTATAATTTAGCTGCTTCAGCCTGCTACATCGAAAATGAGGGGCATTTTTGTTTTTACTTCAGGTCGCCGGCGCTGGCCGTGCGCGGTTACCACGAGCCGGCCGGAAGCTGGGAGTAACATATCCTCCTAGGAGTCGAACAAGGCTGCCAAGTGCCAACTATATCTAAGTTTTGTCCGGAAATATCCGTACCTGCTATCGGAGTGTCTGATACACTTTTCTGACCCTCACTTTATTTGTTATATAGTCCATCAGGCTATCAGATTTCCATCATGGTTTTGGTGGCTACATTATTTGCTTATGGGAATTTCCGGTTCCGTCATGACTTGACCTGGCAGGTGATGCCATCTTATCACGTGACCGAACCGAGTCAAGGTCAACGCAGGTCAACTGATTAATTAATTAATTAATTAATTAAATGACTAATGATTATTTAATTAAATATATCAGGAAATGCTTCGAAAGTACACCGACTACCATTTGTATGATTCTATCATCCCTTTCAGTTTCATGTGAAAAGCGGGCACGAAACACGAAAAAGTACCGATGTCGCGCTAATTCTCGCTCCGGTCGCATTGTGCATTGTGAGAAATAGTTTTAGTGTCTATGCTACATATTTTGCGACCGATACCCCCTGAACCCGATTACGACTCGCTGACGAAGTTTTGTAAATACAATTTGAAAGCTCCGACCCGAACGATTTCTTGTGGAGTGAAGCTCCCATTCACTTATTGCATTAACAAACTCCACAGTCCACATCATGTCCTTAAGTGTAACTAAGCTGTTGGTGGCGATAAACACCCATTTAGATGTCGGCGGTGACGCCTAATGGTTGAGCTGACCTGATCCCACCTACCCAAAATCCACGGATACATCGTCTTTGATCAAAACTAGCACGAAATTCGAAATCAGAACCCCGAAAAAAACTCACATAACAACCTCATTTTAAAAAGTTAAAATAGGCCACGATTTCCCTGACTTTTAAGTCATTTACCCGAATTGAAATGCCGACTAATGACCGGCGATCTTAAAATCGGGTATCATCGGCTTCCTTTAGTTACGGTAGGACGTTCATGTTTTCGCGAAGCTATAGTTCGGTTAGGGACTGAACGATTGGGGATCCAACAGAAGTTGGATCCCAATTATATGCTAGCGGCTGAAAACGCGGTCACGGAAGGGGTTTCAAAGAGCATACAAACACATAGTCCTTAATCCTCGCCCGTACTGGTGTCTTGCCAGCCGCAAACGTATATGGGGGGGGGGGGGGTCCGTTGGAGACATAGTTTGTTACGAGAGACGCCCAGTTCGAGGTTTAAAGTCCATGCTATTAAAAGCCTAATTTCAGGTATTTAAAATAATCTTGAACCGACCTGTGACCTCGGAACTCCACTTGAAGGTACTCATCAGAAGCCTCTCGTAGCGTTATTTTGTTTGCTGCCTCGCCCGTTTCGCTGCGCCTCGAGCTATGGGCTATGGGCTATGGGTTCTCGAGCTATGGGCTGGGGAAGTTTACCCCCCCCCCTCCCACCCCCACCCAGCAAGTGGTGTGTGGCGAAATACTCCAGCAACTGCCGGGTTAACTCTCGCCCGTATTGGTGTTTTGCCAGCCTCGAACGTATAGGGGGGGGGGGGCGGGTCCGTTGGACCGCTCCACCCTTGCCGTTTGGCCCCTGATCGAGCTAGAGCTTCGAGAAAAAATTTAAGGTCCTAGGTCATTGGTTGACTTTCCAGGTCAGGTCAATGACTCACACGTCTGGAAAATCGGGACCCTGTTAGAACATCGTAAAGTGAGGTTGATGAGGTTTTTTCGGGGTGCTGATCACGAATATCGTGTTAGTTTTGATCACAGATGATGTCTTAATGCATTTAGACCAGGTCGGGTCAGGTCAGGCCAATCAGTAGACGTCCTGCCAGGTATTCATAGTACGTGTCAGCCGTTACTGACAGCTTCGTAACATGTTACGAAGACACCAAAACAACTTCGTAAATGCTCAAATGGTTGCTTAATTCGAAATCAGCTCCAAAAAGTAGCCTAGAAACATGCAAAACTCGAAGAAGTGAACCTAGGTCATCAAAGGTCAATGATCTGACCTGACCTTCAGGTGACCTTGACACCCACCATAATGCATGGGACCAACATCATATCACATGTTTGAACGCTTGAAACCGCAAAAATACTGCAAACGCGCGGCTAATACGAGCCGACATACGCCGAATCGCGATTCCGGCCAAACGTGGTCTCGAAAAATAGGCCACAGGTCAAGGTTCATTTGGGACAGGGTCATGAAATTTTAAGGGTAAGTGTACAATTGATTGACTCGACAGTACTGAAAGTTTCATCGCGATCAACCGCTTTTTACGCGAGTTATTCGCGAAAAACCATGGGGGTGGGGATCCGTTCTTCGACCCCCCCCCCATACGGGCGAGGGTTAAGTCAGTTAGATTTCTTTTGCAGTTTTCAATTTAATTTACGAATTATGTTCCGGCAGCTATGGTCAAAATGAGCAGAATGCTGCTCAATGTACCAAGCGCAACTTCGTTCTCCGGCCCGCAGAGAGCGGGGATGTAGGTCAGGCACGGCCTTGGCCGTTTCCTCTGGGGCCGCGCCGTCTGCCGAGGGAGGGGAGACCTTGCCCAGTCTGAGGGAGGGGGACGACGGCGCCACCGGGACGCCCCGTCGCTCTGAGACCGGCGCTCACTGTATAAACAAGCAAAAAACGCTGGCCGTGCAAAGCTTGGCTGTGCTTTGACAGAGGAGGCATCTAGTGGAATATTTCGTAACTACACAAACTTCTAACAAAGATGTCGCTTGAAGCGCAGTTGAGATTGTAGGTTTTGATCCAACTGAAAATTGCCATCTCAAGGACGACGAAATGATGTAAATTTATATGAAATGGTTTTGTATGATGCGTACTTTGATTAATGCCATTAATTTTCCACTGCCTTTTTGTGTGAAACGATTTTGTACCTTGCGATTTTGTATGACACGCTTTTGTATGCTGCGCTTTTGTATGTTTTGACTGTCCCCTACCCGGCCTGTTTTGTAGGTTTTGCGCGTTGTATGTTACGATTTTGTATGTTTTGATGATTGTATGATAAGATTTTGTATGCTTTGATATGGAGCCGTCGGCGCTAGAGTGCGCGTCGATTTCGACGCAACCGTCGTTGGTGTCTTACTACTACTCCGTCCCGAAACTGTGTCCGTATAGTGCCGTGGGCGGTTAAGGCGTTCGCTGGGGAGAAAGTGCAGCTTTTCCGCTCGCCTCAGAGGTCGTAAAAACTCCGCCAGTGACCGGCAGAAAAGTGGCTGGAGGTTCTGAGATGGGCTGGAGTCTGGAGGGCGCCCCAGGGAGCGGGTATATCACCGCGGCAGAGGGGCAGACGAGAGAGGGATCGGGGCTGCACGAGAGGGGTGGAGGAACCGTGAGGTTTGTGGAAGAGTTGGAAAGAGTGGAAGTGCCATTTCTTGAAATTGGATAGGTTGAGAGGGACACGGATGGATGTGCAACTTGTCGAATATGCCATTGTGACCCGAATATAATGCAAATCTCTCTCTCTCTCTCTCTCTCTCTCCTCTCTCTCTCTCTCTCTCTCTCTCTCTCTCTCTCTCTCTCTCTCTCTCTCTCTCTCTCTCTCTCTCTCTCTCTCTCTCTCTCTCTCTCTCTCTCTCTCTCTCTCTCTCTCTCTCTCTCTCTCTCTCTCTCTCTCTCTCTCTCTCTCTCTCTCTCTCTCTCTCTCTCTCTCTCTCTCTCTCTCTCTCCCCGCAGCAATTCACCGTCGCTCTCACTGAAGACTGGCAGCCGCTCACTGTAGACGAGCTGGCCTTCCAGTTTCTGCGCTGCCAGCAGATGGCAGGCCAGTTGCCACCCTCTGCACAGGTGGCGCTGCTGACCGCCGACGACCGCAGAGTATGGGGCAAAAACCGGCAGGCACTCATTGATGGTAAGTGCAGTGTGCTAAGTATTCACGATAGCATTTAGTTTAGCATGAAGGAAATTTGATGAAAGTACCATCCTCAGGCCTCCTAACCAGGAAATATTCAAAAGGAAACTCTGTTCTCAAATATCTTCCATAACAGGCAGTGAAAGCGAGCTAAAACCATTCCATACACGAGCTGAAAACGAGCTAAAACCATTCCATACACAACTTTCTGACTTCACTGAAACGTCTGAAAGCCACGTCTAATGACAGCCGCTTCACCACCAGTCCATTACCACCCTCCATTACCTCCATTAGCATCATTAACAGGCAACAGCCCATTAACGTCCCTCTCTTTCCTCCCCCAGCGGACGAGCTGAACGCTGAAGCTCTGACCACCATCGAGAACTGCTTGTTCGTCGTCTGTCTCGACGATCCGCTCCCGACTTCGTTCAACGGTCGGAAGCGACTCAGTTTTGACGGGGGAGTGAGCGATGGAAGGGATGACACGGCGATGGCTCATCAGGCGCTGCACGGTGGAGGAACGCTGTACAATACGGCGAACAGGTGGTTTGATAAGACCATACAGGTGAGTGAGGTGGAAGAATTGGTAGGGGAGGAAGGGAGAGATAAAGGAGAGGGAAGGGTAAGATAATGGCGGGAAAGAGTGAGGAAAACAAGAAATAGGGAAAGTGGGGTAGGGTTATGGGAAGAGACGGGAATAGGCGGCGGGAAAGAGAATGTTGGAGAAGAAAAAGATGTGTTAGGGAATTGAAGGTTTGGGAGAGGGATGAGGAAATAAGACTAGTGGAAAGAGGGAAGAAAGGAGGGTAGAGTGGTGTCGAGTGTGGACGGTTGTAATGATTGTGGTTTTTGAATCCACGGATAAACACAGCAACGTGAGACAATTTTTCATTCTAAAACAGCCACGTATTTCCCCTTCCTCTCCCTTTCTCTCTCTCTCTCTCTCTCTCTCTCTCTCTCTCTCTCTCTCTCTCTCTCTCTCTCTCTCTCTCTCTCTCTCTCTCTCTCTCTCTCTCTCTCTCTCTCTCTCCCTCTCTCTCTCCCGCAGCTTATCGTCTCGCCGGACGGCATGTCGGGCCTCTGTTACGAACACTCTGCCGCCGAGGGCATCGCTGTCGTTCAGCTGATGGAACAACTGGTGGCCGCAGCTGACCGAGATGACGTCACTATGACGGCACCCACCCGCCAGCTGGAGGCGCCCTATCACATAGAGTGGTTCCCCAATGATGACATCAAACAGAGGATTGATACCAGCAGTGAGGCAGTAGACAGGTAAGAATATTATTTTATCAAAGAAAAGGCCGGCTTCGGAGGTGGTCTACCTTGAATTGTCACTAACAGCTTATTTTACTTACAAAGTACTACCCCTTTGGTTTGTTCCACACAAACCGTGCAAATAACCATCTAGCCTACATGAACCATTTCCTAATTCACAGATTGATTGACGATCTGGATTTTCTGGTGTTACGATTCCCTGAGTACGGCAAAAACTTCATCAAGAGCGTCCGATGCAGTCCAGACGCCTATCTCCAGCTGGCGCTTCAGCTGGCCTATTACAGGTAATTTTTTGATGGACGCACATCTATGACAGTGATTATCTCCAACTGTCCAATTACAACGGACAAATAATTACAACGTTTCAGCCTAAAACCACTCCCAGTGATGACTCGAGAGAATTGAAGCAACAACACAGGCTACTGTGAGTCAAAACAAAAATAAATGCGAGGTTAACAAACTGGCCTACATGTGTTGCCAGGCGAGTATAGCTATGGCGTACTGCATTATTTAGTTTACGGTCCGGCCACTACCTAGCACCAGTCTGGCACTGCTTACCACGCCTGCATCTATGCTGTTCCGCAATGCATTATGTTTCCGAACCTTCCGCTAGATGCCACTAAGCTACACGCCTGCAGTTATACTGTACCGCCACACTCCGGGAGAAAGTTTGTAACTTCGCCGGCAGATGGCAGCAGGCTAAGCGCCTGTGCCTATACTGTGCCGCATAGCACGCAGCCTAGTTCGAACTCTTGCCGCCAGATGACACTGTAATACACGCCTACAATTATGCTGTGCCGCAGAGCTTGTAACCTTGCCGCTAGATGGCTGTCGCGTCAGCGCCTGTACGCATACTGCACCGCATTGCAGAGAACTGATTTATTGACTTGCCGCTAGATGACACTAGTTGTAACGCCTGTGATTATGCTGTACCGCATTTCATGAACGGCGTGAAATAATGAGAACGGAGAGAAAAATGCGCAGGAGCCAGGAGGTGCAGGTAAATGTCGTCAACAGAATCATCGAAAATGATTATGTTTGAAACACAAAAAAGACATTGGACGGTGACCTTTGACCTTTGACCTGGTGACCTTATTAGTCTAGTCTAACGGAAACGGCTGCCCTCGGGGTATTTGGACGGGGAAATAAGCGGCTGACAATGAATAGACGACGTGATGATCAGTGATCACATTCACGACGACGTAACGTAACGTAACATTCAACTTGATGATCCGCACTTTGATTTGATCCTTTCTCTCTTATTAGTGATCTATGTGGAGGCCCTTCCAACTGTTACCACCGCTGACAATTTCTCCCAGGAGTCATGACGAGCTAGTGGCGACCTACGAGTCGGCGTCGATCCGCCGATTCCGCCAGGGGCGGGTGGACAACATCCGCGCGGTGACCCCGCAGGCCCTGGCCTGGGTCAAGGCCATGGATGACATCAGCACGACCGTGAGAGTTGACGGAGGGAGCAGGGAGAGAGAGAGAGAGGGAGAGAGAGAGAGAGGGAGAGAGAGAGAGGGAGAGAGGGAGAGGAGAGAGGAGAGAGAGAGGGGGGAAGGAGTGAAGGGGGAGGGTGGGAGCAGTGAGGGAGGGAGACTGACCGATGTCATCTCTGGTATGGGAGACTAATTTGGGTGCATTTGAAAAGAACACATGTTTTGAATACTTACTGACCTATTAGGTACTACTACTATGCCTTGAATATGAAGAACTGCTTGAATTGGAACTCCAGATGCGTCCTGACTCTGAGACTAAACCCTAAACTAAATGAAGACCACTGAATCACATATAATCAACTTTACCAGTTGAAATCACACCTCTGTCTGACAACTGACCGGTCCCCCCTCCCCACCGGCAGCGAGGAGAGCGCGTGCAGCTGTTCCGTGCCGCCCTCCAGCAGCAGACTGAGATTATGGTGGAGAACATCCTCGGGCAGGGCATAGACCTTCACCTGCTAGGTCTGCAGGAGATGGCCAAAGAACTGGGCATGAAGGAGCCCGAACTGTTCCGGCACGAGACGTACAGGATCGCCAACCATTTCGGACTGTCCACGAGTCAGGTTAGAGGTGTAGAGAAAAGCAGAGATCGCAAAACAACCAAGGCCGTATTACCAGGTGGTCAAAAACATCGAGGAAAATAAAACCTTAATAATGCCTTAGCGCAGAGTTAATATCATAATAATGCAGCGATTCCAGCAAAATAACAAAAAATAGTCAATAGCAAACCCATCGTTTTAACTTTCCGTATCATCAGATGTCAGATTATTAGACCCAATAAGCTTTCGCCTATTCCACTAATAAAAAAAATCGTTCCACAAGGAATCGATCCCACGCTTCCCACTAACAAACACCTCCTTATCACCACCGCAGGTGCCCACCAAGAGTGGCGACACGTTCATGGGTTACGGCGCCGTGGTACCCGACGGCTACGGCTGCTCCTACAACCCTCAGCCGGACAGCATCACCTTCTGCATCGGCTCCTTCCACGCCTGCGACATGACCTCATCGGAGACGTTCGCCAACTCCATCACCGAGAGCCTCAACATGATGCATGACCTGCTGAAGTCGGATACGTGGACTAGCGATATGTAGGCTTGAGGATGATGCAAGGGTGAGTAGTGAAGGCGGTAAATGAGAGGAATGTGAAGAAGTATAGCACGTTCAAGTGTACGAGGAAAATGTCTCCCTCTCAAGGAAAAGATGGGAGGAGGAATGGCTGATGCAAAATCCAAGTCAAAACGAGCAGATGATATAGACTATATCTCTGTGATACAGAGTAGAAGGCAAGAAAATGTTGGACGTCAAAACGTTCGGGTGAACCGTCTGAAAAAAGCAGGGTTGCTACATGAACAAGGAAAGTGACTTGGAGGCTGGAGCTGACAGCAGAGACGTTTGAAGATCTGGTATACATTACATACATATTGGACATTGGAACTGGGAGTGGATAGCTTATGGAAATGTCATTGCCAGACTTAGTTGCACGGCAACAGACAACTAACGCAGAAAAGAAGTCCACGATACCAGATATAAATCATTAGTTAGGCTAGCCCAGAGCTGGTATATACCATGTACTCAAAACATTGCATTCGATATGATTCTATGCTGAGTCGCACATAGCCTGAGCCAGGCTATTTTCGCATAGAATTGCCTATCAATATCAGATAGCGATAATGTTTTGACGCATAACATGCAAGCACTTGAACAGCAGTGGATCTCAGCAAAAGGATATTGAAATGCTAATGCATAGTTGCCATGCAATCACTGAGCCGTTGTGCTGTGCGCACATATTTGTAGAAGGAAAAGAAGACAAAGCAGCACACTGAACAAGACATGGCTCTTGTCAAAGCATAGATGATCCTTGCCATTGTGATCCCAGCAAATGTCATAGTGTTTTAATGTTGTCTGTTACCTGCTTTATTGTGATAAGTAAGAACCGCCCGAATGGTTGGACAAGGAGCGATCAGTTTCTATTTATTTATTAGCGCAAAGACGGCAAGTCATTTTGAAGACCATTGCTACGGGCATAAGAAATTCCCAAGGAATTCCCAAACTCTCAAAATTCCGCCTTGCGATATTTTAAATTCAGACGCTCATTGTTCAGCTTCAAGCTTGAAGCGTACCTATCTTAATTTGATCTCAGTCAATGTGAGGCCCATAGGATCTTACGCGTATCTCGAATTACGGGCTTTTGACATTGTTTGTTTGTTTGTTTGTTTGAACTTTGAATGACATATCTTGGGCGACGCTGGAATGGATCAGTTAGAACCCGATTTGCGCTGAAATGTTGTTGATCACAATCACTGTGATGCACTCAATTGCTAGGAGCGATATTTTTTGATCCGTCGACCGTCTAGTCATGCTATCTCAATGTTTATTTGTTATCAGAATGTCTACTTGTTAAACGATACCTATACATATCACCCAGCGCATATCAGATTTATATGACCATTGCTTAATGTACCCATAAGCGTTCAATAAGTCATGGGTCGTTATCTGGAGTATTGTTGTTACCAAGACTACAGACACAAAAATACTATCTACATATCAATACATGTGCTTTATTGCTTGTTGTTAACTGTTGCTGTTGATGTTATTTATTTTCCCTCCTATTGGTGTGAACGCGGCTTTAGATGCATATCATTTCGCTGTGACGCCGACACAGGGTCTCGTTGTAGACTGTATTGCCTGTAAAGCTCGCTTTACACTGCACTTGTTTTGCCGTTTTCGCGGTGTGATGTACCCGGTAGGTGCCCGATGTGATTTAATGTGATAGATATTCGCCCGGTGTGGACTGAGTTTGTCAGTCGACGGCAGTGTTGTGGAGTGGAGTGAAGTGGAAAAGGGTGGAATGTTGTTCACCTGAACAGAAGTGAGAGTAGCAATATACTGAAAATAGCGTGTAATGGAGTTTTCTCGTGACGATGCGAAGAAAAGTTCAGTTGTCGTTTAGAGATAAAAGAAATCAAGCGACAAGTGCGTTACCCAAACATGACTCGGGAATCACAAAGCACTTCATGGAGCCTTCTGTAGTTATTCAAGCGAGAATCGATAAAACAACTATCTAGCCATAAGGCCATCACAAATGTATCTGAGCGACTGTATTAGTACGAAATAACACTTACATACAGTCGACTCCTTATTTACACAAGCTTTGTACAAACCAACCACGGCGGATCTGGCGACATTAAGCACGTAAGTACAAATGTCGCAAGGGATGTTGGATCCATCAGACATTCACAAAAACAATCCCTCGAATATCCTCAACTTGTTGCTGAAATTCGGTATCATGACTAAAGCCCGGTTCTGACTGCCGAAATCGATCGGAGCGGATGAAGCGTATGGTGATCGTATGGTGAGCGTGGCTGGCGGAAAAAGATAAAAATCTCTAGGCCCGATACGATCTGGTAACTGCTAGATCGTATCGTGCGAATCGTGCGTATCGTGTGGGAGTCTGCGTCCGCCATTACTGCCGGCGGTGATAGATAAGAACGAAATAAATACTTTTTACGCTTGAAGAGACGTTAAATGTAGTTTAAAACATCTCTCTAATTCAATAATTTAGTTTGAGTAGTCGGCTCTGACTATTCCGTGAAGTTAATCAACATTTCGGCTTGATTGGAGCAGCATGGCGGCGGAAACCATTCTCGGCCGTGGAAGGTACGCAATTTTGAAAATGCGTGGAAAAATAGAAAATCATGTCAAATTGTCCTGGAAAGTAGCCTACAACCTAAAAGTGAGTATTGTGAATGCTGTGCATCGGTTTTCTTGAAAATCGGTTCGTTGAAATTGACAGAAATTCATTGGTAAGATATCTATGTACCATCTCCAGTGCTCCAGTGTCGCCGGTAAATCGCCGGTCACCACGAGGCTTGCCGGCTCGGCAGAGCGCAGGCGCACAGATGACGTCATCTGAGGGAAGCGTGTTGATTGGCCGCCATGAACGGGACGAGATCTATAAAGAGGGAAATTAATACTTTTCAGACTTAAAAAGAGGTTAAATGTAGTTAAAACATTTCTGAATTTAAGTATCAAATTAACATTATCGGGTAAGGCTTTTTCGTGCAATAAAATTAATACTTTGATGTAATTGACGCACCTAAACGAATCAATGATTTTTCGTATGGTATCTTCTAAGTGGAAGTACCTACTTTGATTATAAGTATGTCAATCAAGCTTATTTATTTATAGTCACCGTGATTTACTAATAAGATAAGTTATATCAAATATTTTAGCGCAAACCTTCCACAAGACAGCAGCAAGAAAAGCTGCAGCACAGCGAGTTCCCCACACGATGTCAACTGTACGATACGATCAAGACAAAAGATAAACTCAATCCATCTTTCGACGGAACGCACTACGACGTACGATCTGCCGCTACCGAACGACGCGCACAGTAACGTTTTTTCCCGGTTCTCACTGCACACATACGATTACCATCGCGGCGATCGGGAAACGGGCGTGCCGATCCCCATCCCATCACCATACGATCACGATACGATCACCATACGATCCACCAAACGATCGAAAAACGGCAGTCAGAACCGGGCTTAAGACGGCGAACTTTTCATACACGCATCGGCACACATCAAAGTTAATTAAATAGCTGTAATGCCGCTTGGATACTTCGGTTAGGTTTCGCACTGACAGCACACCCAGTAGTCAGTACGCTCATGAGACCTCCACATTCTGCGGTGTTTAAAACCAAATTATCCGCAGTTATATAATAGGACGGCCAGTTTATAGGTTACTTAAACCAAACTCATGAAGGAAACGGGAATAACAACGAAAATTGACGATTCCGAACATACTATTGAGCAGTTTAGGCATCACACCGAAAAAGGGCCCATATGTTCAGTTCACTCGTACTGGCTTTTGCAAAACAACACAATGTATCGCTTAGCTCCTGGCTTGCCAGGTTCGTATGACATTCATAATCGGCATCGTAAAATGAAAGCAATCGAGCCAGCACAGCTATTCTCTTCACCGTTTCCTCCACACTGACTGCAATAGCTTACACCAAACGCAGCTATAAACCGTCCAGCGCCACAGTTTCCAATACCGACCACAGATGTCGCTAGTGTAGCACCGCCAGATGGCAGCACTACTCATTGTCGTGCAGCACAGCCTGCCGGTCCAGGAGATCCACGTAGCTCTTGCCCACGAACAGGAGTCCGGTGGCAGTGGTCATGCCGACAATGGCGCGGAAAGTGGCGCACTCGGGCGTGGCCTGGCGCAGGATGGCGAACAGCAGTACCGAGCCCATGTTGAACACCAGGGAACCGAACAAGCTGCGCCGGGCACCATCGTCATCGATGAGTCAGGTCAACTACGTTGGATGGAAGCAACTTCTAGATCGAACTTTCAGCCAACGGCTTCTATATTACTGAAAAACTAAGTTGTTGAATGATGAGTTATTGTAATCAACCACCAATGATTTGTGGCTCACTAAATTGATAAGTTTAAGTCCTATGCCCTAAATATGCCCTATCATTAAAGTAGTTTGGAGGCATTAGAATGATCATCAAAAAGCGTGGGCTACAATTCATCATTATAATTCATATGTATTTGAAATATATTTCATTAGAAAATCTTCAAAGTATCCAAGAATGAACTGCTTGGAATTAAACTGCAATCTATGATAATTTGGTAACGCAAAACCAATTCAAAACAAATTATAATAAAAAATGAAAAAAGGAGGCTGCTACTACATCATCTACTGCAACATTCCTGTTCACAGTAAGAAACATGCCTAAAACCAGACAGCTGCAAGAGAGCTGATATCAATGATCGTTCAAGCAAGCCATGATACAACTGATGTTACTTTATATTCAGGATCTACCAGTTACCACTACAGAGCAAAGCATCCTGCCAAGGGTTTCATGAACTAGCAGCATGCACTACCAGAGCCGCTCAGACCTTACCTGAAGGTAAGTCTCTTGCAGATGTGCTGGTGCCTCAGATGGCGGCTGCCGTACAGGTAGAGCGCCAGACCCACGTTGGCGTGCAGGAGGGCCACGTTTGAGGCAGGAATGGAGCGCGGCAGCAGCCTGGGGGCCAAATGCGACAGTGAAATAAAATGACAAAAGGTTTAGCGATAACATTTCATGATTTCTGACTCTGCTTTTTCTCTGCATTGCACAGAAGATGTTGTTAGACTTCATAAACTCCCCACTACATCCAGCCCAGACAACCAGCCTTCGATCTGGAAAAATAAATAAACAACATGAGCACATCTACCTTTATATCAACTTACGGCCAAGAGCTCAGGATGGCTGGATGCATCACATGTCCAGCAAAAGCGACATAGCATGTCGCCCCTTTCATTGGATAATAGAAATACAAAATGTTTTCCTTGGTGATACGACGTAGCCTCATCTTCACCAGAGCATCATTCAGCTTCTCCATGACTACAGGTATTTGAACGTTGAGCTGAGCATTGTTAATAAGATTATTAGAAGGATGAATAACCTGTTGCTCATTTCTATCAGAAATAGAAAAAATAAACCAATATATATTCGGGCGTGGCCCTTCTTCAGTGGTACAAGATCACAATAAAACCAACTTTTCAACTTTTTTTTCCAACCAACAAATCAACTTTTTTTTTAGTGTGATCTTGTACCACTGAAGAAGGGCCACGCCCGAATATATATTGGTTTATTTTTTCTATTTCTGATAGAAATGAGCAACAGGTTATTCATCCTTCTAATATTCTCCATGACTACTCCTGAAAGAAAACAGGAAACTCTTATAGCTTGAGCTGATGTACCTAGATACACAATGAGTTGGAATGATTAAATGGAAATATTTGACGCCACAAAAATGAAATATCATTATTGACCATCATTCACAAGGCGATGGTGGCTCAACCGGCAAAAAATTAACTTCAATAGTAGCGAACCACGTGACCAAATCAAAATCAGCATATTGGGTTAATTGTTTGGCATAACCAACGTACCTCAAACTTGAATAACGCCGAAATAAGTCCTTGAATTGTTATGAAACAATGCAATGCAACTTGCAATACAATCGCTGCAGCATCGCTGCAAATCATATTTGTCTCAAACACGCCAGATATGTAACAAGACAAAAAGCTTTCTGCCTCTAAATTTTGTTGTGTGGACTCTGCGTCAAATTGTTGCCTAGTTCCGATCAAAAAGGTTTGTTTGTATAGACTTGGAGACATTTCCAGCAGCAACAAACATGAATAATGATCTAGTAAAAAGGTTTTGTACCTTAATAGAAATGATTTTTTTTCACAGGAACAAATATAATGGACGCGTACCTAAATTTAGTATAACCCATTGCTGTTCAGCAGCCCACTACTTAGTGTTCTGTAATGTGTTCTCGCCATACCATGACCAAGACCGTGGCACCTGATATGTGATTAGCTCTGGGCCACTAGCTCTTTTTTCCATTACGCATCAACTTATAAAACTGTTATCAGTTATTACGGCATCACTGGCTTCTGCTGCAAAAGTATGATTGAATAAATCGTTTTCCAGTGGCTAGCTATCGTGATCCATATTACTAGTAGGGGAGAGTGGGGAAAGATGCCCAGGGTTTTACTATGTCATATATTATTCGAAAATGACAATCGAAAAGCAAAAACTTGGAGTTTCAACGGAAGCCAACATCATTTTTCTCCAAAAATATCACACTTTCGTGCCTGAAATATGATAACTTTTTTTGCTATTAAGCAATTTCCTGAAGAAGTGAAAGGGGGCATCTTACCCCACAGGGTGGGAAAGACGCCCCCTGGCGTTGGCCGTTGGGAAAGATGCCCCCTGCACTATAAGTGACATAAATGGGCACGTGAATCGCTTGAGCGAATCAGTAGTCCCTTCGAGCCTGCAGTAGACACCAAACGTCATCGTAAGGGCCCTCAAAAGTAGTCGTAAGGGGCTTCAGAGGTCATCGTTAGGGCCATCATAGTCCAGCGCGGCCAAACAAGCCTCCGTGGTGGCGTTCGGAGACCGCTGTGGGGCCCTTATAGGTCTTCATGATGCTTAAGGGCCCTCGAGCCCATCGTGGGGACCTCATATGCCAGCGCGGCCCGTGGAGCCAACGTGGGAGCCCTCAAAGGATGTCGTGAGGGGCCCTGAAGCCAATAATGGGGCCCACAGAGGCCGTCGTAAGGGCTCTCAGAGTCAGATGCCGCCCAAAAAGTCGCTGTGTGGGCCGAGAGGCCGGCATGGGGAGCACCCTACTGTAGGTACTGGGCTCTCAATAGTCCCAGATCGGCTATTGTCTCTCATCACAAGTGTGTAATAAATGATTTGACGGGCTGCCTGAAGGACAGCCTACGGATTTAGGGGGGCGTCTTTCCCCATCAGGACAGGCAGGCGCGGATACAAGGGGGGGGCCATGGGGGCCATGGCCCCCCCCCTTGGCCGATTTTTTTCAAAAATAAAATAAAAAGTTAAAAAGTTAAAAAGCTGAAAAGGGGGCCTCCTGAAAATAAAGTGGCCGAAATCCGATGAGTTTTTTTTTTAACCTACCCACTTAGTTATTTCTTAGAAGACTAGCTGAGAAGACTTCTTTGTTAGAAGATTGGTAAAGCTTTTCATAACTTGGAGGTCTCTTATACTCACAGAGATGACCACTTTTACAGGGCCTCCTAACCTGCACAGAGGGCCTCCAAGCCTGCACAGATGTTGAGATGTTGCCTGAACAGCTAGATAAGCTTAATAGACGCAGTTTTTTTTTGGGGGGGGGGCCAACAAGTGGGAAGATGGGGCCTCCAACAGGTGGGATTATGGGGGGGCCTCCTGGTTTCTAATGGCCCCTCCCTTGGAGATTTTCTGGATCCGCCCCTGAGGACAGGGAGCATCTTACCCCAAGGTACCGAAGTTACATTAAATCAGTACAATTTGTTAGCCATAAAACTACACCCTGAAACAAACTGTTTGGGACACAGTACACGCATGTTAATGTATCACGGCTATAGCAAGGGATGCAAAATTATCTACCTTCTTTGATATTTACAATGTTTTGACACCAAAATATTTTTTGAAAGCAGCAAATAAAAAACATGCAATCACCAGCCAGCCGTTGCCCAACTGAGCTTCGCAAATTTTTGTGCAGTTAACAAGGCAGGCTTCCGCTTTACGCTAAGAACATCAATTTCCCGGTTTGATTCTTTGTTTCGCCGCTAGAGGGGGTGGGGCGTCTTTCCCACCCTGGGCATCTTACCCCACTCTCCCCTTCCTAAGGCTATATCAATATCACTCTGGTCTTCTGCTGTATTCTGCCGGTTCAGCTTCGTCGATATATTCTATAAGCTATGATTTGAGAGAAGTTTTCCCAGTTACTTCAGTGATTCTATCATCTTAGCTTCCTTCCATTTCGTTGGATGCCCAAATTTGACAGGATCCGCCGGCGCTTACGCATTTTGAAGACGGTTGGTGGTAAAAACCAGTAAAATGTAAGACGAGTCATGACTTCGAACACGATTAATCACTTATATTAACAACGGATAGCACAAATTACACACGTAAGTAGACATAACTATCTATGATGCTCAGATTCCTTCACAAAAACTCGCAGCATATCACCGCGTACCAACAGCGAGAAATACGCAGTCATCGGCACAAGACCTTGGTCCCATTGGTTACAACATGGCACGACATTCATAAGATACTCTAATATCGTAACGTAACAGCCAGCTGGCCACATACACCGAGCATAGCGAAAAATACGCAATCTTCCATACACAATCTTGGTCCCATTGGTTACATGGCACAACATTCATTAGATACTGTAATCTCGTACCCTAACAGCTAACTGGCCAGTGGCCACACATATAGGTAGGTTTTACCATAAATATCTCGAAACATCACCTTTCCGTAATAAGGCGGAAATTAGTACATTCACAATACGTAGCTGCCTTGAGATTCCCATTGCGCCAACTACTGACGAACAACCAAATATTGCACACATGTTGAAGCATTTAGACAAACAAATGGATGAGTATTATCCCGGCAGTATGCCTCATACTGGAAACAGCACGGATAACGTAATGTTGAGTACGACGCACCCAGGTCAATCCGAAAGGAATGCAAACATCGGCCGCATTGAAAAACGTAATGTCACAACAATGTCATTGGACCATAAAATATAAAAAAATCTTACAAAATATAAAACAAATTGTAGGCGTGAGTGAGAAGTATCGCCTGTTTTGTTCACAAAGACGCTTCTGAGTGGAGCCATGCTAGATACAGAATTTTCCTGACAGTTATATCTCGTAATTCCTGAACTTCCTGACCAGATCACTTCCTTCGGATCTGCGCCACTGTGCCAGGTATGGTCGGTCCGAGCGAATGGACTGGCCCACAGTGTTACCTCCCCTCGGAATGGACTCGTCCGCAGTATGACCTCCCCTCAGAGCTGAAGTGGACTCGTCCGATGACCCGGCGCCCGGAGGCAGCATACGGTCGGCAGTCTTCGGCGTCGCCCAGTGCATTGACTGTGGAAGAAAAACAATAGATGAGATGACAATTGCCGTGGTAAAACGACCGATGTGAAAACCCTGAATTTTAGAATATGTGGCGTACCTTCCGGTTGTACTGATGAAATAAAAGGCGTCTATTAGAGCGTATACGTTCGAAACAGCTTCTTTCCACATATAATAAAATCAAACAGAATATGATCCGATAAGGGGTTCGACTATTGCACGATCTCTGCTTTGCAAACAACTTCATTCATTTTAAGCTAATATTCAGTCTCAGTATCGAGCATGTCACAAGGAGGCTAACAAGAAAAGCATACACTAATACGAGTTAAATACATTAACGACATTAAAATCGATCACTGACCGTTTTCACCGAGTCCCTCATGGCCAGCCACTCCTTGAACGGGATGGTGAGTCCACTGGCGCGCCACTTGTCGTAGGTGGCGCGCCGCTCCTCGTCACACAGGGTCTCCTTGGCAAACTGCCAACAAACACGATACCTATTTTCACTGGGTAGTTACAAATGGTAACTGTTACACAATGGCATTCATTGAATAAGCTCCACGAAACACAAAAAGAATCCTAGATTCAAATAACAACAGAGCCACAAAAGCTTATGAGGTTATTCAAAGCCTAGAAATATTTATGCATCACGCCACCTATACATATTAAGGTTACATAATACATTAAGCAAATAAGACGCGAATGTCGTTTTGATGTTGAACCCATTTCGGAAGTGCAGCGTAGGTAGACGATCAATCAGTAAAATGTCTGTAGGTCATTCATCCCTGATTCGGTTAACAAGAGAACCGAACTCCCGCCGGTGAAAGGCCAAGTTTGAGTCACTCCGTGCCCGAGTTCGAGTCACTCCGGCACTCTCCACTCGATGTATAGTCGACTACAGAATGATGTTCCACTTTTCACAGGCAATTTTTTGCCTGGGGTGGTAGGCTGTGCCGCATCACACGGGCTGAGTTCACAAATTACAGCTTTGCCCCAATGCTCACAATCGACACGCTTAATTGCGTGATAAACGGCACAAGTTAGCGCTCCGGTCAACTGATAGCTTCTGCGGAGTGGATCATCATTCTGTAATCGACTATACATACGAGACTCCTGACGGGATAGTCCCAGTTCGAGTCGCTCCAGCGCTCGATATCAAGTACTCCTGACGGGATAGTCTGCGGTTGATGGGAGCTGGGAGTAGCTCAGTCAGAGAGACGAGCGGCTGGCATCCGGCTAAATAGACACGACAAACGTTGGCTTTCGAATCCTTCCGATGAACTGGGCCCTGTTTCACCGGTGATAGCAGCACGCTACTATCAAATTGCGCGAGCTGACGTAGTGTGATGAGGTCACACTAATGACGTTTCGTGTAATCCGTGAGCTGAGTTTGGAACAGAGTTGCTGTCTCGTTGAATTGCGGTTGATACATTTGTTTGATCGCACAGCCGTGAAGATGTTAGCAGCAATATTTGATGACATCACACAGATTGACGGCGTCATGGTTTGTCGATGTTTCCATGGAAACCCAATTTGACACGTGTGATAGCAGCGTGCTGCTATCACCGGTGAAACAGGGCCCTGGAATCCACGGTCGACAATCTGGAATTTTCCGATAAACAATCCGAAAATTTATCAATTACATAGTAGAGGTCAGGGCCCGATCAAGTGCCCTGCACAGATTGGAGCTTGCTTTGGTTAGTCTGCTGATTTGATGCATTTGAGTCACATATTTTACCTACAACCGCCCAATGAACATTACTTCATGAGCACCTAGTGAATAAGTTGAGAATCACTGACAATGTCAATGCAAAAATCACATATGGCAAATAAATTGCAGGCAATAAAGCAGCCACTGCAACATTTATTTCTTAAACCATCTAGGTCATGCCCTTTAAGTCTAAGCTAAGAATATTATCCAGACAGCCTAATTAACTGTGATGTCAACAGAGCCAATAAAAAGTTATCACATTTAGGGTCCACCAAATACCTGTAACTGCTGAAATCTTTTCTCTGCTGTGGTATCATCAGGGTTCTTGTCTGGATGAAACTGAAGAGCCAGTATTTTGTACTCTGTCTGAATTTGTTCCACCTGGAGAGAGAAGTGGGGGTGACATGGGTCTATTCCACTGGGATAGGTGAATTCTAGTTCAATGTTTTATTCATGTATGACAAAACATGGATGATAAGCAAAACATGCATTAAGTACCATTGTCCCAAAGTGGTTTTGGCATGGCAAACTCATTGAAGTTATCATTATGAAAAACTTCATCACTTATTAGATGCCACCACAACTTACTGTGGAAGATGGATGACAATTCAAAAGATCATATAGGTCCTCTTCTTTTGGTCCAGGCTTCAGAATGGCATCCATGCTGGTTTCTCTCAGCTTCTCAAGAGTGACTGTAAGGACTGAGACTGTCAAATAAGGAACATGTTCATTGCTTTTTAGCCATTAGTGACATGATTCACAGGTCGCAGCACTTTAAACAGTAACACCTTTCATAAAAGATTCTCCTTATTCATTAAATCAGATTAGGCCAAGGGTTAGGCTTACCTATTTTAATTTAATGATACAGCTTTAGGGCTACACAAATAAATGAAAGGTACACCACTCACAACTCACAAGTCTAAGCATAAATGACCCCCCATAATGATTCACTGCAGCTGCAGCACAGCCTGATCAGACATAAGGGCAACCTATCCATTCTGTCACTTCCCCAGACAAGGCTGCTCCTACAGCCTACAACCTACAAACCTACCCTACAACCTACAAACCTACAGCCAATTAGCTCCTTTGGCTACAGCTCCGTTGTTGGAAAACCTTTGTGCATGGCCTTTGTTTAACGACTGCTCTACTAATGCCAGATATGGTGGAGCATTTGGGCATCATGAGAATTGGTATGATGTACAGCCCACCGCTAAAGTAATGTAGGGTTTTACCAATCTCAACGGTTGGCTTTGACTGGCGATTGTTTAATGCGGAGTGATCGAAAAGAAGATGTCAATAGCTAAAGTTGCAGCTGCAAGGGTGACAATACATATAAGCTACATTCAAAGTTTCATTGTAGTCTGGCTAATCGTTCCTAAGCTTTAACCCTATTCCTGGCGGGCTCCGCCGGGACAAGAAACTGGCGGGGGGGGGGGGCCGATTCGGCCCCCCCCCCTGAGATCTCGAGAACGAAGCAAGATAGCGACAAGCGGTAAACGGCATCGGATACGCACGGCCAAGATCTACAAATTTTACTAAGGTCATTTTCAGGTCAGGTCAAAGATGACGTCACAGGGGTCGAAAAAGTCAAAATGGCGGCGCTAGATATGGAGAGTTTTTCTCGAATAACTTTCGAATTAGTCAAGATAGGAACAAACTAAGGGCATCATCGTGATCCTCTCGTCAATCCGCATCGAATGATATATATATGTTGACCTCGAAAGGTCAAGGTCAAAGGTTGACCTCAGGTCACGTGACCTCGAGGTCATATCATGTATATCATTCGATGCGTCTTGACGAGCTGAACACAATGAGACCATCCACGCGTCTGTATCTTGTTCCTGTACGGAGTTATTGGCCAAAAACCTTTGGTGACCTTTGATGACGTCACATGACCTCACAGCTGCCCAACAGCAAAACAGACCTCAAGGTAGTGAAGGTTGATCGTATATGAAGTCATGTATGGTATATGGGGCCATTCCGACCCGTTTTAGTGGTAAAAACCGGGAGTTGATTTTTCCCCCATTGACTTATAATGGGGAGGTCGCGAAATTGACCTGACCTTAGGTCACCGATATCAAAATTCCGAGATATACAAATTGCACATACTGGTACCCTAACTAAACCCTGAAGAGAAGAAATTGATCGGTCAAAAACTCTAGCTCTGGCGTGATTGCAAACTTTTCTGAGGTAGGGTCACCAAACCGCCTCTGGTGACCTGACCTGAGGTCAGATCAACTCAAAATTTTCAGACATGTTGCGTAGAAGCCTTTTAGGAAAAGTCAGAAAATTTGAGCTTCCTAGCTCAACGCGTTTGGGAGAAATAACCAAAAAACCTCAGGGGGGGGGGGGGCTCCTGAGGGATTCCAGGACAAAAAGTCAAAAGACAAAATATCAAAAGACAAAAAGTCAAATGCAAAAAGTCAAAATGGATAAAAGTCAAATGGTTAAAAGTCAAAACGGATAAAAGTCAAAAGACAAAAAGTCAAATGGCAAAAAGTCAAAACGTCCAAAAGTCAAAAATGCAAAAAGTCAAATGGCAAAAAGTCAAAATGGCGAAAAGTCAAAAACGCAAAAAGTCAAAAGCAAAAAGTCAAATGGCGAAAAGTCAAAATGGCAAAAAGTCAAAAACGCAAAAAGTCAAAAGCAAAAAGTCAAATGGCAAAAAGTCAAAATGGCGAAAAGTCAAAAACGACAAAAGTCAAAAGCAAAAAAGTCAAATGGCAAAAAGTCAAAATGGCGAAAAGTCAAAAGCAAAAAGTCAAATGGCAAAAAGTCGAAAAACGCGAAAAGTCAAAAAGTCAAAATGTCCAAAAGTCAAAAATGCAAAAAGTCAAAAAGACAAAAAGTGAAAAAACGGCAAAAAAGTCAAAATGATAAAAATCAAATGGAAAAGTCAAATAATCGGTCCAGCCGTTGTGCGGTTATTGAGGATAATAGTTTTCGGGTGTATGCAAAGTACCCCAAGTTTAGCACGCGCCACGTGCCAAGATCGACACGACAACATGGTGTCCATGCCATACAACTTTTACATCCAAGTGGTATTCAGCAAAGAAGACCGCTTGTCGATGCAGCATGCGGTTCTTGAGTTATAAGGGTTTGAAGAGCGTGATGGGGTCGTGTCGGGTCGGGTGGTGTCGGGCCGGGTCGCGCATACTCAGATTTTTGCCTTAAAGGGACTATCCCACCTTCTAAAATGTTGTTGAAACCAGTTAAATTGTGCCCGACTTTATAGATTGGATGACCAGGAACACGGTTCTGGCATTTATTTTTCATTAAACATCTTAGGTTTCCCATATTCCAAACACAAACTTTCAAATATGTGACGTCACAGCCCAAAATTACCTCCTTCCCCAGGCCACATTACTGTCATAAAGCTGATTCTTTTTACTCTGTAGGCACCACAACAAAGTTCAGACCAAGTTTTAAGCGATTTTTCAACGAACAAACCCATTTAAATCAGAATGACTAAACGAGGTGACGTCACACTAACGGTCGCTCCATGTTGAAGATAGGGCCTTGTACAAGGCCCATTTTCAAATGAAGGGAACGAATTTCTTCAACACCAAGAGGCCGCGGGGGTTGCAACCTAGATAGATAGTGGTTTCTGAACCTCGCCGCAAACTTGGCTATCTCAACTCAAACCCCATGTTAAAGGTGGGATAGTCCCTTTAAACACGAAAGAACTCGCTCGCTCGCTGCGCTCGCTCGCTCGTAATTAACCCTATGGCGTTGCATGGAAAGAAATGAGTTCAAACTGCCTCGAGCCCCTCCAACATTGAGAAAGTTCCAGCGCCAGTGCTCCCACATGTAATAATAACCTGTGAATCATTTTCATTTTATTACTTAATGGATTCGTTCATTAAAATATGGTCATTTCTTTTAACCAAATTTCTATAAACCCAGCGCGTTGGATGCTGGACCAGTCAGCGATGACCGTACAGAGACCAGAGAGCGTGAGTGGACGGAGGGGACCGCGTCCAGTCTATCGGGCACGTTTAAACTTTCAGATAAAACTTTGCCATAGCACTGGAATTGCACGATTGGGCAGTGGTGACCCGGGAACGTTTGAAAAGTTGATGGGGTAGGTTGAAAGTTGAGGGGACAAAAATTGCAACTCAAAATTTTGAAATTATCTCGTCTTTTGTATTTTTTACGTTAAGTCCATTGACGTCATTTAAGCGTTAATCACATGGTATTTTTTTTTTTTTTTTGAGGTTTTGGCTTTTCACCAGGGCCTCCTCTCAGGGGCGACCATTTCCGAAAATTATTGGTAGGGCTCTAATGTAAATTTTTGCCAATTCAAAGTGATTCTTTCCACGCAACACTAGGCATAATGTTAAATTTCCAAAATTATTGGTAGGGCTCGGGCCCTACCATGCCTATTTAACGACACCCATGCCTCCTCTAACATGTTAACTGCGGGAGCTGCAGCCCCCGCAGTCATCCTCCAAACTGCAGTCACTGAGGGGTACCTTGTCATTTTTTAGTCTTAGACGTTTTTGGTAGGGGTTACCTTAGTCATTGCCCGTGATCGGGCCCCCCAGTCAAAACTGCGTAGAGGAGGCACTGCTTTTCACCCTCTTCCATGGGGGAGGGGCTGCCGCCGCCCGGTGCTCCGCGCACCACGGACGCCACGCGAGCGCTGCTGGCGCGGCGGCGCGCACTGCTCGGCCCGCGCGCCGAGTATACGGTGGTGAACCGGCAGTGTCGAGCGGCCATCAGACGTGACCACGCGGCATACTGTGCTGACCAGCTGCGTGAGGCAGGACCGGCGAGGATGTGGACAGTGCTGCGGCCGGCGATCGGGGCGGGGAAGAGTGCCACTGCTGCTGCGCCAGCGTGCACGCCGGAAGCGCTCAACGCGTATTATGTGAGCGTGGGCCGGGGGCCCCACCACTGCAGCCAGCGTCCCTGCCCCGCTGCTGCGGACCCCGGTACCTGTCAGAATCCCTCGCGTACTCACATGTTCCTTACAACTTCAGTGGGTAGGGTACGTTGCGCTGTATAATATTTTTCAAAAGATGAAAAGATCGATGCTTCGACTTTTATCCTTTTGACTTTTTATTTCAGACTTTGACTTCGACTTTTCTATTTTATACTTTTTTCATTTTTTGACTTTGTCTTTTGACTTACCCGTTTTGGCTTTTTGCTTTTGACTTTTTGTCTTTTGACTTTATTCCGTTTTGACTTTTTTGTCTTTTGACTTTTACTCGTTTTGACTTTTTGTCTTTTGACTTTTTTCCGTTTTGACTTTTATCCTTTTGACTTTGTGCATTTTTGACTTTTTGTCTTTTGACTTTTACACGTTTTGACTTTTTGCTCTTGACTTTTTTCCGTTTTGACTTTTATCCTTTTGACTTTTTCATTTTTGACTTTTTGCATTTTTGACTTTTTGTCATTTGACTTTTTGCATTTTTGACTTTTGCACATTTTGACTTTTTGCTTTTGACTTTTTGTCTTTTGACTTTTATCCGTTTTGACTTTTATCTTTTTGACTTTTATCCCGTTTGACTTTTTGCATTTGACTTTTTGTCTTTTGACTATTTGTCTTTTGACTTTATTCCTTTTGACTTTTTGTCCGGTTACCCTCCTGAGGCCCCCCCCCCCCGCCAGGAATAGGGTTTAGGTTTAGGTTTAATCGGATGGGCTGATGTAGACTGGGTGTCTATTCGGTGCCCACGTCAGGTATAAGGTAGGTATACTGGACTGATTGGATCTAGGGTATAGCCGTTTGCGCCATGAATTGGTCAAGCCGGTTCTTGAAAGTGTTAGTGCTGTTTGCCAGTACAACATCTTCTGGTAGTTTGTTCCAGTCATGGATTATACGATTTGAGAAGAACTTTGCTCTTGTAACAGTTTTCGATCTTTTGACTTTCAGCTTCTTGCTGTGGCCTCTTGTTTGGCAGTCATTGTTCATGGTGAAGAATTGCATTGGGTTTACATTGATGTGTCCTGAAAGCAGCTTGAATGTCTCTATAAAGTCTCCTCGCCTCACTCTATCTTCGACACTTGGCAAATCCAGTCTTCTCAGTCTCTCCTTGTAGGTCAAGTTCTTCAGTCCCTGTACTAGCTTGGTAGCTCTTCGCTGTACCTTCTCCAATGCCCTGAAGTCTTGTACCATATGCGGACCGACTGCCTGAATACAGTGTTCTAGGTGAGGACGTATATATATAGTGTACAAAGTTTTGAAGTTTGTTGTAGTCAGGGTGTCAAAGGTCATTTTAAGAAGGGTTAAAAGCAGAACATACCCATGACTGAAACCCCACATTACTTCTGCTGTGGACTGTACCTCTTAGTTTTATATTTAATACACAAATTCATTGCAAACACAACAAAAAACATTTCAATCGAATCAACGTCAAATCCATGACTAAAAAATTTGTTGTTCATTATCACACATGGCGGACCAGTCTATCCTGATGAATTTACACTCCTTGCAATCACAGTGCACATAAATATTTCCACAGTGTATATAAATATTCAATATTACTAATTTCTGCAACACCTCCTACCTTGACCTCCCAAAATAACAATCTTTCATTTACATCTGCTAAAATAGACGTTCCAATGTACCAGCCTAGTGTTCAGTCTTATGGGCTAAAAATTATACGCGCGTTCGGCAGCGAATCACCGAGGCACACAGCGAAATTGACGAATCAAAACGGAGATTTCGGTCCGCGAGCAGTTAAAAATGCTTAAATAGAACATGAAGGCGAAAAATCAGCTGAGTGGAAATATTGCGGCAGTAACTGGCGCACATGTAGCTGTGCGGCGAAACTGGACCGAGCTGCTGCACGGGCAATAATTGGTCCAAAATTGGTCCTAGTTACATTTATATCTTTTGTATTGATATAATCTGGGGCCAGAACACTCACTGGTTAAAAATCAGCAAAATTGTTGGGCATTTGATTGAAAGTCAAGAGTGCAAGGTCGTGGACTGTCGCATCGTCCAGAGACAGAGAGGAGGAGAGCTTCAAGTAAGTTCATCAGCATCACCTTAGCCCCAGAATGGCTCTCTGTCTGCGCCTTGCATCCCGCTCAGTTGCAGCCAATTGTAGCAGCAGGATTCTTCAAAAGAGCCTGCTGACGACAAGCAGCAGATCATGGGCGATCCAGCAGTACTCTGCCGAAGAGTGGGAGAGGAAGAACGAGAAGATGGGCCGGCCGCTGTCGCCCCACCTCACCATCTACAAGTTCCAGCTGACCTCCATGCTGTCCATCACCCACCGCGCCACTGGAATGGGCCTCCACTTCGGCCTGCTCTGCTTTGCCGGAGTCATGGTGCTCCTGCCCAACAGCTACCCGTACTACCTGACGCTCCTTGCTGGCTCGGGTGGCGGCAAGGCACTGCTGGTGGCCTCAAAGTTCATCATCAGCTGGCCCTTCTTCTTCCACACCTTCAACGGCATCAGGCACCTGGTGTGGGATATGGGCAAGGGCTTCTCCATCAAGACCCTGTACAAGTCGGGATACGCCGTCGTAGGCCTGTCCATTCTTGCAGCCCTCGTGGCTGCCGTCGTGTAAATGTCTGGCAGTTTAGAAGGTGAGCTGCCCTGAATGTATATATGCTGTTCAAAGTGTTTGATGTCTGGAGAAGCGGGTGTTGGAATTGGTTTATGATGATAGCTTTCAAAGCTTTTGTGGCCATGTGAATGTTAAGTGGCAGATCTTTCACCCAGACTAGCTTGGCTTTAAAATGTCTATGCTTTTTATATCTACCTACATCAAAGCTTTATCCCTGTCAATTTTGCTGGTCCACTATTTCTCAATTATATTAGGGAAATTTTCCCTTCTGCATTTCAAGCAAAATCTTGTGACTTACTTTCTGAAGAATAATGGTTTGCTAGCTTGTGATGATGATAAATAAATGTGGAAAGAATGATGTCATTGCATATTTGTTGGTCATTACTAGCACTTTGTATCGCTTAGGTAGTTTCTTCAGCACATATATTTCCCAAATAAGGCCATTAGAGATGTGACATATCGACACTTTTTTTTTAACCACACATTTGTTCTCCCGTGAAGTTCAGACAAGTTGTTTAGAAACCTTCAAAAAAGGTACAGTCACTCGATTTTTCTCAAGTTTGTCTGTCTTGGCAGATCAAGCAATGCCAGAGCAAGCTTACGAACACACAAATTTGATCAGGATCGGACGATTGGACACTACTACAAAGAGATCTTTCGTGCTTCCCTGAAATTCACCGGAGAACAGATGTGGGGTTTAAAAAAAGGTGTCGATATATGACAATTTCCATGCATTTTAAAATGTTCTTACTCTGATATCATAGCCCAAGCGATTCAGGATGTAATGGGCATTGTACTTACACCTCAGCGAGGGAATGGGAGTACCGGTGTACAGTCTGTCTTAAAAGTACCGTGCAAAGTAACGGTGGGTCCATCAAGCCTGACCGAGGAAGGGCCTGCTAAATTTGAGTCACCGAAGCAACTGACATCCTCATCCATTCCCCAGGTCAATTGGTTGAGTGACTTTCAAATTATAGCAGGCCCTTCCTCGGTCAGGCTTGATGGATACACCGTCACTTTGCGCGGTACAGACTGTACTTCGATTCTAAACGTACGAGTTTTCTCGTACTTGGCGAATGTAGCTTGCGCTAGTTTGCCTGCCTTCAGGGGACGCTTGCTAGAGCTGAGAAAATATGAGACCTCGCGTTACACCAATGAAGTGTGAATAGGTTCAGTGCCAACTCGATGCCAATTGCCCTTTAGTACCAATTAAGCACACCTGACGACGAAAAATACTCGTAACACAACACAAAACATGTAGCTTTGCTATATTTATTATCTTCCATAACCATTTACATACAATACTGATGCCTCCTTTGCACTTCTTATAAACTTCGGTGCCATAGCATGAGCTACACAAACAGCATGTCGTAGGGAAGAGCTCGTAAGCTATTCAAATAGGTACAGTCGAAGCCATCACCGACAGGCATCATCAAAACTCGCGCAAACAACCCTAGGACGATAAAATCTGTGTTTAATAAAATATACGAATCGACTATAACGCCGCAACCGTACTACAGTTTGTGCCCATGACCCTATAACAATCTCTAGACTGAGCAGGTTACATGCATCCGTCGAAAAGCCAGAGCAAATCTAACTTAGATTTGCATTTTCTGCAAAGTCCCAACGCTACATTATTTAACAATTACGACACAAAAATAGATCGCACAGCATTTCATTACCACTACTAACTCTAGGTTAGTAACATTACACCACAACTACAACCTGTGCGGAATTAACAGCCCAAGCACCAACAAGCAGCAACAAGGGTTGCTAGCATTACACGCTTTTCTACAGCTCCGGAAATAACATAGGACCTCCAGCGTCTCGCTGCTACATGCTGACCTCCAGATAACGCTCACGTGCTCGGCTCGTTCTCCAACACCAGCATCAATCAGCCTCCTTTTTCATTCCCGAATTTCCCTTCTCTTCTCCAGCAGCCTCCGCAAAGTAATCATCGAAGACTCTCCCGCGTTCCTGATGTCTCCAGAGCATTTCCAGCTTCTCCATAATACGTAAATTCTCCAGAGATGCCCTCACTTCTCTAAACCTTCTTCAGAGTTACTCCAATTTCCCCATAACTTCTCTAATTTCTCCAAAGCTCCCTCGGAGTTTCTCCTTTTCATCCACTTTTTCATTTTTTTTTTCCTGAATCTGATTCCCACAAGGCTTGAACTTGTGGGAATTTCTGCAGTACCTATTCAGATCTTAAAATTCAGATCTTCTCCAGATTCATCAGATCCTCCAAACTTCTCCAGAGCTCCTCCAGAGTTCTCCCAGCGCTCCAGTTCAGACGGCGCACCCCGACTTGTGCCCGGACAGTTCCACGTACCGGCCGTACACCATGCGCACCTGCTCCACGCCGAATTGGCCGTACACGAAGATGTCCCGCGCCGGGTACTTGAGCTGTCGCAGCGAGCTGAGTGTGGAGATGACCATCGTGGGGCCGCCGCACAGCACGATCTGTCGGAGAGAGGGCGGTAGATCAGCACGGCACGGGGAGTTTTAGAGAAGCATCAGTGCAGGAAGTCAAGGACGAGCCACGTGGAAAGTCGCGTTTGGTTTTCGCCGTAAACGGCCACTTGTTTTGCTCTCACAACATATAGAAGAAAAAAATACGAAGCACAATAAAATTACTTTAAATGTAATTTTTCATTCCTTAAATCAAGTCTGGACATGCATTGGTACTTTGTCGTGGTTACAACCAACAACCATGTTTGCCTAACACCTCCCCCCCCCCCAAACAAATCCTTTCCTAAATTTGCGGTCTATCTCGCCCATACCGAACTGATCTTCAGTGTATCCCAGCCGGACCCACTAACAGGACACCCACCTTGCAGCGCCGTCCGTTGGGTTTGGCCACCATCCTCTGAATCATGTCGCTGTCAATGAAGCCCTCCTCTCCATCCCAGTTCTCGGGCGTCTCACCCAGCGAGTACAGGATCTGTAGACGCTTGTCCGTGGCTGATGGACAGAGTCGCGGGGTGGTGAGAGGGATAGAGAGAGAGAGAGAGAGAGAGAGAGAGAGAGAGAGGGGGGAGGGAGAGAGCGTTGACGAAAAGAAAGGTATACAGACCGATACATAAAGTACTCGTAGTAACAATACGTATGAAAGCTGCAACTGAGGAATTTAATAAGAGGGTCCTGGGGTAGCAGCTGAAAGGGATTCTATAGACTGCATCACTTTGAACAAAATGCTGAGTAAAGAGGTAGGTATCCAAAATACGGCTCGAAAAGCGTTGTTTGGGTTTTACTACTCAGTACTCTATATTCACAAGATACCTAAAAATTATAATTATCTAAGGAACGGCTATTTTTTTATAACAGCTGTATCGAGCGTTTCCCAAGGCTAAAGTTGGTAAATGACTGCACGTATAAAAACAAGCCAGTAACGTGTTTGACTCCCCCCCCCCCACACACACACACCCACTGCCCACACACCCACATGTAAACAACCTCCCCCCCCCCCGTCTTCCACTTACCCTGGTAGCGATCCAGCTCGTCCTTCAGCAGTATATCGTCCACCGTCTCGGCAAAACAGAGCAGCGTCACCTGCGTACTGTCCTCCGGGTCGGCCATAACCGTTCTGATCAGCTGCAGTGCCGGAGTGACGCCAGCGCCCGACGCCAGAAGAGCCAGGTGGTCGACGGTGTTGGCGCGGTACTCGAACCCGCCGCACGGGCCCTGCACCTCCACAGTGTCACCTGCGGGGGGAGGGATGATAGGGTGTGATGTGCGTGTGAAGAGGCTGCTGGTGACGATTTACGATGTTTTCATCGTAAATGTTCAGAAAAGTCAAAATTCCAGAATGATTCGATGAGGGCGCCCAGCCAGTTTTAAAGACAATTAACTTTAAAAAATGATAACAGTTAAAGACAAAACATAAACGATTGCACGCTACTCATCCTGAGAGATCTTTTAACGATACTTAGTCCAAACGCATTAACCGTGTTTCTGTAAAGCGTCTTTTATTCCTTAGTCAACCACAAAGCACTGGAAGAGCAGAGGCAAGCAAACGTTAGCAAAAACGCCGAGCT